GACATGTGTTTGTTAGAGTCCATGCAATTCACAGTCCCATCACTAGGCAGACCCTGCTCATGTGAATCAAAAGGGAAACTGAGTTGTTTTGTAAGAGACAAATGGCACAAGAATGTCACTGCAAAATTTCTTTTTGACATATTAAAAAGTGCAGGTATAGAAAATAAAAATGAAATATGAGAAACTGAGGCTCACCACCACCAGCCGACTTTCAAGTCCTACAGTATCAGCTAGAACTTTGAACAAAATTGCCCGAGCTCGACAGCACCCACGTTTAATTTGGCCAAGCAACTGAGCACCATGGTTTTCAAACAAAAACGCATTTTCCTCTAGAGCAAGTTTTGAAGGGCTTTCCAGCGTTGGACGTTTGTAAAAGTCAGATACCTGTTTGAGGAGCATGAATTTAGTAAGTAACAGGGTACCAACAAACATAGAACTTTCCATTAACGTCCAACCAAAAGCCACAAATGAAAGACATCTCAAAGCCACTAATATATCCAGACTAGGAAACAAAATAGAGTAAATCACTGGCAGAGAGTGCAATAGAACATAACAATGGACGCGGTTTAAGAAATAAATGCTCAACTACGAGAATATGCAACGCGGAACTGTGACAAAGAGGGAAGAGTCATTACAGAAATCCTACCGTTCCAGCTATTTTCTTAATCACCAAAGCAGGATTTGAGCCGCTAACAAGTGTCGTGATCAACTGTTTTAGCATTGCGAGCTTCTTATCTTTTTGAAAATCAACAAGAATAACTTCAATTCTGACACCTTCTTCTCCCAAAGCATGAAGCTCACTCGGAGTAGGTAGTCTATTATATAGTTCCTTTACTCTCTTATCCTGAAGCAAAATTTCACATTCAGACACTGAATCTGGAATACAGGCAAAAAAACAACAAAATCTGAATTAGGACATATCACTCACCGGAACAACTGAGTAGAAACCATTAGGAATCGGTTCAGAGAGTATTCCGGTATCCCAAAGATGCTGTGATGCTCTTTGACCAGGAGAACAATCCTGCTCAACACTTCTAGGAGAATCCTTACTCAAATCATCACCTTGAGATTCAAAAGAAAGCAACTTAACCCTTTCAGCAAGTTCTGATCCCTGGTGTGTAGGGCTTGATTCATCATCTCGTCTCTCTTCCATCTTTCAGATAATTTGATGTATTGTATCACTACTTTCTCACCATCTGTTACCCCAAAAGAGGCTTTCTAAATCGAGAACAAAGCTTTGATTGGTGTAGAATTAAACCCATCTGCTCTTGTTTCTGCACTAAATGAGAAAAAGACATGTTAAACTTTGTTAGACAGAGAAGTTAGCTGAAAATGTAAACGAGGTTCTGTTTGTTTGACCCACAGGGATTGGTTAAAATGAGCAAACCAAGAAGACTCTGTTCTCTTCTGTAGTAAAAACAACTTTATGTCATCAATTCGTTTATTGGCCCACAAGAATTTAATATCAAGAAAAAAGATTCGAGAGTAACAACCTCAAAAAATCCGCACAAAAGGTACAATTCATAAGCAACACAAAAAAAAAGAAGTTGTATGCACATTCTCACATCAAAGAGCCACCAAACCCAAAACTCTAACAAGAGAGCACTAATGAAACCTCATAATCACCAAACCAATAAAAACCTACATTACAGATACCAAATTCAATGGCTTTGAGCAACGCATTGATTCGTGCAAATCAAACCGATTCAATCAAAAAAAGCTAACCTAAATGAAATAATAAAGACGATCAAATGAGAAAGATGTGAAATTCTTGGAAGAGAGAAGGATCGGGGAAGAGAATTGATTTATACCGGCGATGACAATGAGCATAATCGGAGAGGCTCTTTCGTCTGAGAGGAATGAGGAAGAAGAAGAAGGACGAGGGAGAGAGAGAGAGAGGAAGGTCACGTGGGAAGGAAGGAGATAGTGAAGAAAGATGGGGAGAGAGGTCACGTGACTTTTAGGGGAAATCCAGCTGGCGATGGGCTGTTGGGCCTCTCAACTGTCTCATATACTTCCAAGTCAATGGCTCCTCCTATTCGACCCTACTTTATTTATGCATACGTTACTATTACTTATAATTTTTTTTATATACTAGTACTCTGTTTAAAAAAAAAATCTAAAATTATTACCAGTTATGAAATAGATATGTGTGGGAAATGAAATTAATAAAATGGTGAAGTGAGGTGGATAATAATAGTATAAGACTGACTGACTAGTAGTAGTAGGAGTTTGAGATTCCTAAAAATAAACAAAAGTGAAAAAATGAAAGGTACAGGTCTCTGTACGAGTGTACGACTAAGACGGACCACACAGAAACTGTCGGCAAAGGACATAAACCAAAAATGATGCACGTGATATATAGACGAGACCTCACGCGTCTTTTACAAATATCTTCTTTCATGATCTTCACTAATTGGATAAATTAATACGATAATTAATCTGTCACAAATGTAGCTGAGAATCTATATAATTTTCAATTTTATCAAATAACATTGTTTTATTATATACTGTTACAAATAATTCTTCGTCGGCCAATATATAGGCCCAATACAGTCGTGATACCTAGATAGAATAAGCATGTCAAAAATAAATTAAAAGTGAAAAATTGAAAGCTCCCACAGCTTGATCCGCCGCGGATAGCATTTCGTAAAACCACCTCTTTGAACCACTTTTAAGACTCTATGACTGTTCAGTTCAGCCACTTTCCAGAATCGATCAGAAGACATTTGTTCCATATGGACAAAATGATTCAGTACTGTAGAATGCAAAACACACCATGTCGACCAAACATAAACCTATAAAGCAAATAAACAAATCCTCTGCTGCGTGTTACACATAAGCTAGCTTGATTCACTTTCCAGTAGTCTAACCATATATCTTACGCTCACTAGCTGTTTAGCACAACCGACAATTTCTCACGATGAAGAAATGTTAAATTTCTTGGTAGTTCCCGAAAATCTGTCGTACACATCTGTACAATATGATATATATATATATATATATATATTTATATATATATTTATTTAAAATGTTGCATGGAAATGCTTTTTTAAGTATTGTTTATCATTCTTTGGTGACATTCAAGTTTTGAGTCTTCCGATAACATGTTTATATCATCAAAAATAATCTAAAACTTACTAAAAAACAAAAAATTGAAAACTTGTGTAAATTTCAGGAAAAAAAAAAAAACTTATTTTTGTTGGACAATTTGTACTTGTACCTATTTTCTAAAAACTTACAGAATATTCTGAGAAACTTCAAAACATATATATTCAGATATTCTAACCAAAGTTTTAAGAAACTCTAAGAAAATATCTGAAATTCTGGTATTTTCATATAAATTATGGGTATGGAAAATAAAATTATGAAATAAAAATTGTTTAGTTTGGGCTGAAGAGCTTCAGTTCTAAGCCTGTGGCCCATTTGTATAAGGTCATTCTAACACACACACATGTGATATAGTTTTTTCTTCCTTCAACTCCATTAGCTCGGGGAAAACAAATTGCGACTCTATATAACCAACGTAACTACAAGTCTCCATGTAGCAGAACATTTTATTTGAATTTGGGGGTACTATGATATGGTATCCTTATATACTTTAGCAGCGATGTATTTATTATTTTAATCAATTAAAAGATAAGAAACCGGTTAATAATATAATCGTTTTCAGGTTCACCTGCTCGGTCAACTCATACTACATAATAACTTTGGCATTTCACTGAAAAATCATTAGGAAAAAGAAAAACAAAATGAGAAGAAGATTTAGATAAGAGAGAGAGGCCAAAGAATGTGACATATATTATTGTCTTCATCTCATTTATTTCTATGTGCACTTATTGTTTATCCGTGGATGCTTCGGCCACTTAAGTTTTATAGGATTCCAGTGCTATGTTTGATTTTTCATACAGTAACACACAACAATAACTTCAAATTTTGATTAAGATTAGTAGGTTATTTGTTTATAAAATTATATAACTCATATAGACAATTTGAATTCAAGTACAAGCTAACGATGATTTAGTTACATGAATTTGTATTTACTTTCCATTCAATAAAATTCATAATACCCTCACATATAACTATTGTTAAACAAAAAAATAAAAATAAATAACTGTTGTTAAATAAATAATCCAACTAATTAACTAGTTAACTTTTAACCAAGTCGAGATGAATGATTTTTTCTTTCGTGGTTGTGTCTTTTAAAATAAATCTGATGGGGTATCACTTTGGCGGTACTGTGATTCTGTGAAGTCATATTCACCTGCCGTCTTTGAACATCTTAGAGCATGTATATGGGTGATACTGATATAGTATCATTAGGAATTTTTTAGTATTATTTATAATGTTTATTTATTGTTTGAAATTTTTTATTATACTCCTACTAAATATGTTTGCATTGGTGAGACCGGTTTAAGTATCATAAAAAAAAAATTTTGCAAAATCAAAAATTAATATATTAAAACATAGGATTACAAAAGGTAATATTACAATTAATTAAAAAAAAACGTAGAATATACTTAAGCAAAATAAAACATAAAATTCAAAAAACTGAAAAAATCATGATGATAAAGGAGGAGAGAAGAATGCGAAAACAAAGTTTTTTTGTTTTTTTTCTCTCTTTTCCCACAAAAACGTGTTTCTCCCGACAAATCCCGAGCCGCCACGTCATCAGGGACTGGTATCAAGAGTATCACTTCAGTGATACTACTCAGGCCCAAATCAGTTGTTTTACCCATTAATTTAATGTTTTTGGGCTTCTGATACCCAAAAAAAATCTGCTATGTACATGGTCTTAGAAGATTCACAAAACACATATCACTTAAAAAAAGAAAAGTAAGTTATAGATTTGAAAAGAAAAACATTCCAAAAAATGTTAATTAAAGGCTCGGGCTACGAAAGAAATTTGGTGTAAATAAGTGGACCACCAGACCAGATACGTCGGTCATATTGGAGGAGTAATTAATTTATAAATTTTTTTTTTCTCATTGTGCAACTTCACAAGTTCACATCACGGATTACGTACGTGAATAAATACCAAAATACAAAATGTTAAGTAACCGATGACCACCCCCCTCACATGATTCACTGACCAACGAATTGAGATCTGATGACTCTATATTAAACTACCCCCAAGTCTTTGCAATTTTTGTAAAGTCAAATAGAGAAAAAAAGAAGATATTTTGGTTTATAAATCTTGGCTAATCACCAAAAAAAGTTATAGAGACATATGACTTTTATTCTTATTTTTACAAAACTTGAACTCATATAAATCAAAATCATTTTCTAAAGCGAAGAAGTGTAAAGTAACGTATGATTAGTTGGCAAAATAAGTAACGTATCATTATCTACACTCCAAAATCCAAATGTTAGAAAAAAGGTTCCTTTCTTTCATGTTTTGGTCACTACTGTCTATTTAATTTGTTTATATATATTTTTTCTGACAACCTAGCAGCAGATTTATTCTTTTATTTTGTTCCCCACTACTATATAGTATACACTGTACTCTCTCCTTTTATTCTTTAATAAATTATTTTTGCATTTTTGTTATTTGTTTTTATCTTTCTCTTGTAAATTGGATTTGTTCACACATTTGATTTTATATACAAAAGTTGGATTTATCAATAATACTAATGTTTGTTTGCCAACCAAATTGTTTAACATTATATAATATCATATTCTTAAAATAAATAAAGTCTGAAGAAATGTATAGATCTCGTTGCCAATACCTTACCTTTAGAGATTAGTATATACTTATCGTCCCACCTTGTATCATAGAAAAGTTCAAATACACCATCTGCTACTTATCCATTTTATTCATTGTTTTTTCAATCATAATTAATCTCTAAGTTTTCCAACTAATTGGCATACTATTTAAAGTTTCAAATCATTTCGATATATAAATATTTGCATGCCTACTACATTCTCCCTACCAATAATTATACAAAGCACATGAAATGGACGTAAAAAAAAAAAAAAGAATTGTTGATAGAGACATACGGAAAGGCAACTAGTGTGAACAAAAAAAGAAGAAAAAAGAAATTTCCATTTTAAGCATTACTAAATTTAATCAACATGCATTATAAGACCATATTTAACGGGAGAACACATAAGATGGTCTAAGGGTTAAAAAAATTGTAAATAATGTGAATAGTGTGTTAGAACACTGGGGAGAGATCTTCCGCAATATCAGGTCTTAGAGTGATCTTGCTCCACGTGGCAAACCCTGAGTGGAAGGGTTTCATTTTTCAGAAAATTTCAGTTTTGGCAACTAGAGTTTGCGTCTCTTTCTTTCTCCATGTGGGACCACTTCTAATATTATTTTAATAATTTAATTTTTTAAGATCAAACTTCAAAGATTGTCCGTTGCATATGCCCTAAAACAATTATTTTGCTTAATTAATTTTATAAGAAATTCAAAGAAAGGGAGAAATCAAAATGACGCAGACTAAAGAGAAAGAAGTAGGAAGAATATGACAACCTCACATATATTCGTTTTCACCTTCCTCTCTTCATTATTATTTTCTCTTCTCTAATCTCTTCTTCTTTCTCTGTCTCTCTCTATCTTCAATCCCGCGTTTTCTCACTGGTATTTCACTTCCTCTCTCTCTCTCTCTCTCTCTATATGTATCTATATATCTGTGTGTATATTTCTCTGGTTCGTCTTCTTCTTCTTCTTTTTCTTCTTACTCTGTTTCCTACTCTGTTTCTTTAACAAGAAACACAATCTTGAGCTGGTTTTTGCCTCTCTCTCTGTTCTTCTGCTTCTGATTTTTTATACACAAGTATGAATACGTATCTGTGTATATTTAGGTTTCGATTGGAAAACAAAAATATTTTTCATTGTTTAACTAATTTCTCTAATTGATTTGGATTCATAAATAATGGGCTCACGCGTATACATTTGAATATGTATTTCTGCTGGGTTCTGACTCTTGTGGGGTTTTATAATTAACGAAGAAAGATAAAATCTTGATATGTTTTCAAGAAGCTGAGAAAAATTCCATCAAGGCGGCTAAAGAAAGTCTTTTATCTATCTTCTTTCTGATACAGAGTTTTGATTTTTGGAAGTTTTTGTGTTTTGAATCTGATGGTTTTGTGACACATTTGTCATAATCTTGACTTAGATTCTTGACATGGAAGAATACAACTACAGTTGAAGAGGTTTATTGTGCAAATTACTTGATCTTTTGAAGGTATTGCAAGTCTTCTAATGATGATTTGATTATGCAGAATGTTAATGGGGAGCTTAATGATGGAAGAGAAGCAATTAGATTTCAACCGCCCGCTAATATCCATTAGACGGCCTGCACAAATTTCAGAATCTGAGAGCAAAACAAGATCTTTTGATGCAGCAAATAACAAGATTCCTCCTTCTCCACCGGTTTACAAGTCTGATATCAAGTCAGGTCCTGTGAGAAATCCAGGAACTGTTCCTTTTCAATGGGAACATAAGCCGGGAAAGCCGAAAGACGAAAGGAAACCGGTTTTACAAAGTTTTGTAGAGCCACATTTTGTGCCAAAGCTTCCTCCTGGTAGAGAGCGAGTAGAGTTAGTGAGGAAACCTGAAACTAGAGCTGATCACCAGACCAAAACTGTATCATCTTCGGATAAATATCTTGTGGATGAGGCAAAGAGTTATAGTTCTCGGTATGATGATGATGATGATAGTGATGGTACTTATCTTGATGCAACTGATACACTTTCAAGATCTGAGTCATTCTTTTTCAACTGTAGTGCTGTTAGTGGTGTGAGCGGTTTGGATGGTTCCGGGATACTAGTAGAGCCATTTGGAACTTTATCGAGTGATCGACAAACTCAGGATCTAATGATGGGGAGATTCTTGCCTGCAGCGAAAGCTTTGACTTCAGAAACACCTCCACATCTTACTAGGAAACCGCCTAAACCAGAAGAACCGACGAAGCAGTTGATGAAGAAGGTAGTACTGGTAAAGGAGAAACAGAACAAAGTTGAGCAAAATCCGTATCGTTTTCGTCATTCGTCTGATCAAGAAGAGGAAGATGAAAATACAAGCAGCATGGGTTCTGGTGTTTGTGGATTGATCCCTCAGATATGCTTGAGAAGCTCTTTAGGACTATTGAATCCGGTTCCATCTGTGAGAATGCAAGCACAAAGAGCTGTTTCTGTTCGTCGTATGCGGTCTAAGTATCAAGATTCTACACCTTCTCATGAAAGTCAGGACAAGGTAATTGATTCCCTCTCCTTCTCGCTGCCTTGTTCATCATCCCACTGAGATCTTTTCTCTGATCAAGTTTCTTTCTTTTTTTCTCTATAGCAAATCAATGAAGATAAGAGGAAACTGAAGCTAAATGAAACAGTTTCACAAGGGTCTTCTCAAGGTGAGTCATTATCAGTATCTTCTATTCCACAAGGAAAGGAAAAACTCGAGATCTTATGCACTAAAGTCAGTAAAAACTTTGGTGAGCTCTTGGCTAGTGATGATAATACATGGGAACCTTCGTCTGAGACTCCTGTGGCAGAGAAAACTCTGTATGTAGACACCGTGCATTCAGTAGATAAAAAGGTACAAGAAGAGTCCAAGAAGCAATCGTTATTGAAAGACTATCCTTCACTAGACATTGTTCCTGTAAAAGATGAAGAAGCTGCTATCTCGCAGCCTAAAAGTATTGAGCAAATGAATGGTAACAGAGATGAGGATTTCACTAAAGTCTCAAGTCAGAAAGTTGAAGAATGTCCTGATCAAGCTCTTGTTGCACTACCAGAATCCAATGTGGTAGAGTTTACAAAGGAGAAGAAGATTGATCTTGAAGTCCAGTTGCAGGGAATCACAACAAATCTTGAAAGCTCAAGGCTTCATTATCGTTCATCTTATCACATTGTTCCTCCACCACCATTACCAAAAGCTCCTTCAGATTCTTGGTTAAAGCGTACATTACCAACAATACCATCAAAGAACAACTCATTCGCATGGTTACAGTCTCTTGGTACTGATGATAATCACTTCACCAAGACTCAAGCTAATCCAAAGTGGGAAACTATGGTCAAAACGTCCAATACACAACAAGGCTTTGTGTGCTTCTCCAAGGTAAACAAAAGAAAGAAACTTTAACCTTCACTTTCACAAATGTGTCTTATTGCAAAATGTGTTAATACTTGTTTAACATGTTTGTTCTTTCAGGAAACACTAAACTCTATACCAGAGTCATAGCAAGACCAAAACAAATTCTCACTTGAGGTAATGAAGAAGCTACTGTAAATTTTTTCACACCAAATTACATGTAAATTTCAACAATTAATAAAGAAGGGATGGGCCAATAAAGTTTGGGTTCTTTGTCTTTAGTTATTTGTGTAAATCTGAATCAAAAGATTCCATAATAAAGAGAAAGCTATGGAGATAATTGTCTTAAATATTGTCTGTCATTTATGGAGAGGTTTCTTGTTGAAGTGATGTACAGCTCATGTTAACAGAGATTTTGTGGCAATAATTCCATGTGACACTGCTTATTTATTCTCTTCTCTAATAGACATTTTTTTGTTCTTTTGTAATTATGGTTTCCAAATATAGAGCTCACTAGAAAGGAAACTTGAAAACTGCAGAATTGAATTGAATAACTTGACTTAATTAGTCACTAGAGGAATTATTGAAACAATATTGGTGAAAAAACTAAAAATGTTCAAGTTTCATCTCTTTATATATAGTGGCATGGAAGATCACATGTGAAATATCTCAAACAAAGTGAAGAGAAAGTAAAAACATAATTTAGAGAGAGAGTGAGAGGTTTCTTTATCAGTTAGTCTGACATGAAAGAAGCTATTGCTCTTGGGGATGGTTTGTTCTTGATCTTCATGTTTCTTCTGTCTTTGTTACTTGTAACCATGGCGGTATTTGCTTGCTCCAAAAAGAAGGAAAAGAAGAAGGATTCAAGTTGTTGTTGCTGCTGTAAAGGTGGCGGTTGTGGCGGTTGCTGTGGTGATGGTGGTGGTGGAGGAGGAGGTTGTTAGGTAATAGTATCTCTTGGATACTTTTCCGTACGTATTTGAATTTATGACCAATTTGCTTAGAACATCTAGGCATTACCTAAGCACAAAATGTGCATAATCTTACTATTTTTATGCTTAGTATATGATCGGGTCCGATTCTTGCAACATCCTACTATCAGTTTCATTTTACTTTAATAGTCCCATCGTTTGTATTTTTCTGCATAATCTTAATGTATAATTTTATCACAATATTATGTTATAAAAAAATTTCGACGTAAATATATCCTGTCATGATTATGTATATATACAAGAGAAATACATCTATCTCAAACATAGTTAAGTATATATTATAACATTGTTTTCATGTTATTTGTCTATAGCTAGCGTTGGTCGTTGGAATCCAAATAGCGAGTTATTAATTGTTAAACAAAATATTCCAAGAAGTTGATTATGATCGTCCATGTGCTAAGTCCAAACACCTTATCCTAAGACTTTTATCCATCCTTTAAATTGGACCAAATGTAAAATGTCAAGAATAGTAGCCATCTGGCTCCAGAGAAACCAAATTTTTCTGAAACGACAAAAACTTGAAGATTTAGAAACACATAACATAAGCCAATATTTTCCATCCAAAGAGTTATCGAAATTAAAGCATATAAATTCTCATACCCAAACTCGAATCAAAATCTCGAACTTAACCAAAATATACAACAGAAGCTTTTGAGCGTCGGCCGAACTGGTGGCTTTGGTTTAGCTTGGGGGATGTTGGCGGTCGCAGCCACCTTCTCTGTAATAGCCATTGCCTTATTTGTTTGCATGCATTGGTCACAAAAAAAAACATCAAAAAAAAAGAGAGAAGAAATACAGAACATATGTTGGAGCTACAACTATTGCCATCTTAATGAAAATTTTTCATCAAATCATGTTATCTTTTGAATGAAACTTTTTTAATACAACTCTAGGACTTGAACCCATTTGTCACCAAATCATGTTATACAATTCTCGATGGAGTAGATTAATATCTTTATCTAGTTCTCTGACTGTGGCTAAAAAGTTCAACATATACAGTATTTTTGACTTAAATATTCAAGAGTTTTTTTTTTTTTTTTCATCATATTCAAGAGTTCTAAATTATAAATATTCATGAGAAGAATAGTAAGAGACTGACCTATGAATAAATAAAAATAAAGGAAAACAAATTAAGAGTGATAGATTAAAGCGTTTTTAAACAACTATTAATCTGATTGTGTATTACCCAAATTATCACAAGGCTTGTTTTATGTATCTGATTGTATGTATGTAATCTCCACAGTAAATTGCATTAAGGGATTATTACGGAGTTATTAGACTTTTCACTTCACTAATCACTGTGCTTATCAAAGAGTTCAGACTTAATTAATAGATTAGCGTTTTCATTGGTGCGTAAGACTTACGCGCTCTATTCACGAGTGGGTCTCCTCTTTATCTTTGAACGATTTCGCAAATTTAGACACAACACAGGTGAGAGAGAGAGAGAAAAATAGTCTTTACTCTTCTTCAGTGAGAGAGAGAGAAGTTAGAGCTGTAAAAGCACATGACTTCAATACCATTGGGGCATCCTCAGCCTCCGTCTTTAGCTCCTCAGCCGCCGCATCTTCACGGCGGAGATGCTTTGAAACGTCGTCCCGATATTGATTCAGACAAGGTTTGTTTTGTCTTCTCTTTTAACTTAACGTTTGTGTGTATCTCTCTCTCTGATTGATTCTTTGGTGAACAATGCATTTCAATTTTCGTTTTGTGGGTTTTCTAGATCTAGCTCAGATTTTGCTTGTTTCGATGTGTTAGTGAATCGATCTGTGTTCTTTGTAGTCAGCGTTCTTGATTTGAGCTTATTGAAGATTGTGCATTTTGACTTCATAGTAGCTAGTTATACTTTTCTTCAGCTGAAATTTTCAACCTTTCTCTACTGAAGATTGATCTCTTGAGCTGTTTTTGATTACTAGTAGTGATAAATCTTTGAACCCTGAAGAAGAATTTAGGGTTAAGACCAGAAAAATTCTAGTAATAAACCGTTCATATTTTTGTTGTTAAATTTAACACTATTGACTTCACAAAGTACTTGTGTATGTATCTTCCAGTTTTTTTTCCTTTTTCCTGACAGGTTTTGGAGTATTCGTTTAGTTATATGATTCTTGGCCCATTCTGTATTGATTCTGAACTCTTTTGTTTTGTTTTGTGTTCTTTTGCTTTGTTTCTCCACCTGACAGAGTTTGTTCCATCTTGTGTCTGATTGTATCTATTGATTTTGTACAAGTTTTTGTCCACAAAATGGTTGACATCTTAATGTTGCTCTACCCATGAAGTTCCACTTATCATCTTTTAGCTTTCCTTTACCTTTTAACAACTAGTATGCATTTGTTTTCTGGATTTTGTTAGCCTCTAGTCAATAGGAACATGCGACATCATTCAGATTTAGATTTGGTTGTTTTACATGATTGAAATCTCTGTATATTGGGCATTAACTGTTATTAGATTTGATTGCTATGTTAAAGACAAGTTTATATTCTGGAAGATTTCATATACTTGACAGAACTGAGTGAAGAACGATTCGAATCTTTAGAATGATTTGTCTATTGATTAATATACACTCATTTGTGACCTGATGTTTATCATCGGAGAAAACACTAATTGTTACTACTTTCCTTCATTATTTGCAGACAAGAATAGTTTAATACTTGTAATAATATGTTCAGGTTTGATTGTAGGAAATGTCTGCTGCTGTTATAGAAGGAAATGATGCTGTTACCGGTCATATCATTTCTACTACAATTGGAGGCAAAAATGGTGAACCTAAACAGGTAGGATTCTGTTGTTTGTCAAATCTTTTAAATGATTTAAATCGCCAGTTATTGCTCGGGCCACACTACCATGTGTAATGTTACCTAAAATTTAGATTAATCATTTTCTAATTTGCTTTCCATTATAGAAACTTCAACAAATAGACATCATTGTGACTCTTTTTCCAACTTTAAGTTCTACTCACTTATGTTTTCCTCCCTCTGGCCTTTACAGACCATTAGTTACATGGCCGAACGGGTTGTTGGAACAGGATCATTCGGAATTGTATTCCAGGTACCGTTGTGCTTGTCACTGCTAGCATCTTTAGGCAAATGGCTTTTTTTCTTTCCTTTTTGATCAGGTTGTTAACTTACCATTCTAGGCAAAATGCTTGGAAACTGGAGAATCAGTAGCCATTAAGAAGGTTTTGCAAGATCGCCGCTATAAAAACCGAGAGCTGCAACTAATGCGGCTAATGGACCACCCAAATGTGGTTTCCTTGAAGCATTGTTTCTTCTCTACAACCACTAGAGATGAACTCTTTCTCAATCTGGTTATGGAGTATGTACCAGAGACACTGTATCGAGTTCTGAAGCACTATACTAGTTCAAACCAGCGGATGCCTATTTTCTATGTCAAACTTTACACATACCAAGTATGCATTGTTTTCTACTGTTTGCTGTGCACACATACTTGTTGTGTTTATCCTTAAACGGGTTGGAAAATATTTGTGCAGATCTTCAGAGGCTTGGCTTATATCCATACTGCTCCTGGTGTCTGCCACAGAGATGTGAAACCACAGAATCTTTTGGTACGTTGATCTATTGTGGGTTAGTCTTTGGTAACCTGGACTAGATTGTAATCTAATTCTCTGTTATGTTCCTTAGGTTGATCCCCTCACCCATCAGTGTAAGCTCTGTGATTTTGGAAGTGCAAAAGTACTGGTAAGAGGTCTATAGTTTTATTTATGCCCTTTGTTTTTGTATTTTTCTCTGTGCTTATGTGTCTGTGCATGCAGTAGTTAAAAACTCCAATTAAGTGAATATTATGCAAGTAATTTACAAAAGTATGGATGCAGCATTTCAGATATTTCTCTGTTAGCCTGAAATTTGTAACATTTGGCTATTTATATTAGGTGAAAGGTGAAGCAAACATATCATATATCTGCTCTCGGTATTACCGAGCTCCAGAACTCATCTTTGGGGCCACAGAGTATACATCATCCATTGATATATGGTCTGCTGGTTGTGTTCTGGCAGAGCTACTTCTTGGCCAGGTTAGTTTAAATTCTAACCTGTTGAGTATCTTGAGAAATAAAGCATCTCTCCATAATCTTCTGTAATCAATGTGGTATTATTTATCTTCACAGCCGTTATTCCCGGGAGAAAATTCTGTGGACCAGCTAGTGGAGATCATAAAGGTGAAGTCTTCTTTTATTAGATTTTACCTTGGCGTCATTTCCTGTCTGTGCTATAATCTAATAGTCTTGTCATGATGTTCTGTGTTGGTTTAGGTTCTTGGTACTCCAACTCGCGAAGAAATCCGGTGCATGAACCCAAACTACACAGACTTCAGATTCCCACAAATCAAAGCTCACCCTTGGCATAAGGTATATATATGAATGTCACTTTCTAACTTCTTTCTGATCATACAATTGCTTACTTCGCTACATAAACACCATTTATGGAAAAGAAGCTAACACGATGCACAACTGCTCTATGACCTCCAGGTTTTCCACAAGCGGATGCCTCCAGAAGCCATTGACCTTGCATCTCGGCTTCTTCAATACTCACCAAGTCTACGTTGCACTGCGGTCGGTATTTCTAAACCAAGTACTCTTAATTGTTACTTGTTAGAGTGTTTCTCTCTGGCTTCTTTGGGCCTACATTGTTTAATTAAGCAGTGAGATTTTGTTTTAACTGACACATGTCTGTTTGGCCTCTGAAGCTCGAAGCATGCGCACATCCTTTTTTCAATGAACTCCGTGAGCCAAATGCTCGTCTTCCAAATGGCCGACCTCTACCACTGTTGTTCAACTTCAAACAAGAGGTATGTTAAACCATTCCAAAAGCACTTTGCCTTAAACTAAACATAACAGAATGTGCAAACAGTTACTCAATCTGTTACCTCACTCTCTTTGACTGTTGAAACAGTTATCTGGGGCGTCACCGGAGCTTATCAACAGGCTAATACCAGAGCATGTGAGGCGACAGATGAATGGTGGCTTTCCATTTCAAGCTGGTCCCTAGAAAAACGATTTCAAAATGCTTTTCGATAGCAAACTGCCTTCCGGAAAGGAGGAGAAGGGGATTTACTTCTTTCTGATTAACCAAGTATCAGCTTCTGAGAAGAGATGATGTCTCCTCCTTAGACGTGGCCAATTCAGCCTTTTGAGAAATCAGGAGGTGATGATTGTGTCTATTATATTCTTTTTGTTCACTGACTTGTAGAGATACTTTTTCTCGTGTATCAGTATTTGTATATGTTTTTGTCCTTAAAAATGAAACAAAAAACATTCCAAACATCTGCAAGACAAAGAGCCGAAATGATGGAATGAAATCATATGATAATCTGAAGTTTAACTCTACAACTATAGACAATTCGAAATAGACAAACCATGTGAGATCTGTTTGAGAATAAAATTGCACGATTGGAATGATTAAGTTTGAAAAGGCCGAAAGTTGTTAGGAAACAAGTCAAAAGAGCAAATGGAGAAGAAAACAATCCACATTTTGGTGAACAAAGTACAAACATATATCCTCTATAGAATGCAGTTCAAAAATACTATCCAAGAATTGGTTGTTTAGGCTTGTTCTTATTGACGAAAAAAATGCGCTGATAAATTACTGTTTATGGGTAAACTTTCAGTTCCCACAAAAACAATTGCAGAAGTACAAATCTTGCCTCCTGTCTTATTGAATCTTCAAACAAAATTTGTATGTTTGGCTGAAACATGTAAATAAACGATTTAAGATGACTTGGTGACTTCATGTATAGCATTTGCAAGGTATCCCACGTTTCCTGTTGTAACACCAGCCATACTGCAACCAAACATCAAGAGCCTCAATGATTAGGACAATGGATTGCATTGAAATTAAGCATGTTGATGTTAGGAAATGGATTGCATCAGCGCTAATCAGGAGAAAGTAAAGTACCTGATACGGCCATTACGGGTCATATAGATGTGATATTCGCTTGTTAAGCGGTCAACCTGTTCTGGTGTTAGCCCACTGTAGCAGAACATTCCAATCTGTTTCCCCCCATAAAAATATGTTAATGTGTGATTGAGTTGTGTGAGTCAGAGGTGAGAAATGACAACAAGTTCAAAAGAAACACTGTTTATTTTGTCATTACCTGCTTGGTAACATGCTCCCATGATAAAGGCGATCCTAACTTCTCAAGGCTTTCTCGCAAAGTAGTTCTCATACCGATGATCCGATCAGCCATGACCTGTTGTGTTACAGATTTTACATATGGCTTATCAGATTGTAATTTTATAGTTGAAATACTAAACACAAAAGAGTGGACATGGGATAAAAGGTGATGAATGAAAGAAGTAGCGTTTTTTCATAAAAGAAGAGTCTCCATGTTTTAGGTAATGTGTGCACATGAAACATGGAACATGGAATAGAGTGCAAGAAGAAGGAAGCTATATAGTTAAGGAGATAACATTATGGTGGAATGTTACCTTAACTTCCTTTAGCCACAGACTTTTTAGCTCTGGGTCTTCAAGAATGGTTGAGACCAGTTGCGCACCATGTAAAGGTGGGTTGCTGTACATTGGTCTAGCTAGCTGCTGCAATTGACTTTTCACAGCCACGGCTTGCTTTGCATCTTCACAAAGCACGCTGCAGTAGAAGACACAGTTGTCATGTTCATATTCAGTTCTAACTTCATCACTAAATGAACCTATATGGCTATTTCATACAATTTGTTGACGCCTACATTCGAAATTTTTAAGATGCTAATATATATATAATTTCCCATATTTTCGTACATGAGAAGAGAATGGTATTCTTTGCTCAGAAAAATGAATACCTGAGACATCCCACCCTCTGGCCGTAGAGTCCCATGTTTTTGGCATAGGACTGAGAAATTCCAATATGATGACCATCTTCAAGAAAGATCCTGATGGACTTGGCATCTCTCGCTGGATCTCCACTAGCAAAACCTTGGTACGCCATATCGAAGAATGCAAAATGACTTTTAGCCTGAAATGAGAACTCGCTGTTAGTTTGCAGAGGGCTGATCAAGGAGAAATAAAGTCAATGATAGACAGATAACTATAACAAACTGATGAGTTATTACCTTGAATAGCTGTGATATCTCTCTCCATTGTTCCTCTGTAGGGTCTACTCCAGTAGGATTATGAGCACAAGCATGAAGAAGGAAGAATGAGCCTTCCGGAGCATTCTATCAAAAAAATCTTAACAGAGTTAGGATGTTATTAACAAGAAGAAGTAAAGATGCTTGTTGAAGAAGACGTTCTTTGCTAACCTTCACATCATCCATCAATGCTGAGAAATCCAAGCCCTTGGTTTCTGGATGATAGTAATGATATGTCTTTTGAGGGACTTGTGCATCTCTCCAGATATTGTGGTGGCTGTTGATAAGAGAAAACATAAGCCATGCTATTTTGGGAGAAGCAAAAGAAGCTTGGCAACACTTACAAAGTAGAAGGTTGAGGTTAATATGAGATATGATCAAATTTAACTGTAGGAAACTCACTTGGACCAGGTTGGTACAGGAATGTAGATCTGTGAACCAGGACAAAAACGTTTCTGAAAGTCTGCAAACAGTCGGCAGGCTCCAGTGCCAGACAGAGTCTGAACTGCAGCGATTCTTTTATCTTTGATAAATTCACTATTGTCCCCATAGGCAAGCTTCAATGTTAGGTCCACCATTTTGGCACTCCCTCCCATAGGCAGGTACTCCCTTTAATCGATTGATACAATAGAGACAGCTAAGATCAGTCTGGTGAAATATGGGACAATGACATAATTGCTGATGTTGATCTTTCTTAATATGAGGCATACAAATTAAGCACCCCATATATCTAATACGCCAAAACATGGATAAGATGTTATCAGCTACAGAAACATACAGCTAGCAAAAATCTTCTCGACATGCATATCATTTCCACATATCCACATTAAAAGCGGTTTCTAATACTCTGCATTCTAAAACGCAAACATAACCATATTCAATATAGAGAACCCACCATCCCAGTATATGAATAAAATAACTCTTTGATTTCACAAAGAAAAAAAAAAGGAAAGTAGCAAGGTAAGGTATCTATTGCATGAAAAAGAGATTAACAGGCTAATAAGACCTCCAATATCTTACAAGTTATATCAGCAAATCACACATATTCTTTTCGTCAGTTACATTTCAAGAACTTCACCAACTGTACAAGAAGAAGAAGAGAAGCATTAAAGTTAGCTGATTTGGGAGAGAAAAAGAAACTCTTACATGAAAGTACTCCCAGCAAGCCTTTGCTCAGCTTCTCTGACACAATCCAAGACAACAGGCTTCCCATTATCATCACGATATGCTCCCTTAAATGATTTAGCCAATTCAACCACATAAGTAAAGTAAATACAGATTAGCTTCATCAAAACCAAAATCAAAGCCACCATGCAAACACCAAATCACAATCTATAAGACTAAGACCTCAATTTTGATGTAATTTCATAGAGATCTTGTAGAAGGCAGGGGAAAACAGAGAGAAAGAGAGAGACTCACCACACCAACATTAACTTTTTCGGGACTAGGATCAGCGAGAAAAGCTTCGGTAACTCCGAGGATTGGATCTTTAGGAGCAGGCTCAACGCTCTTCCACCATGAAGACATAGATCTCAAACCACCGAAATCACCGGAGATCGGAGTCATTGTTCGCTTGGAAGCTGCGTTTCGGATCATCATCGCCATAGCCATAACTCTCTCTCTCGCTCTGTTTCTATCGGTTAACGTCAAAACACAGAGAAAAGAGAATGGTAAGGAGTTTATATAGAGAGAGAGAAGTAGCGACTCGTACGAAGTTTGGCAGATGAGGACGAAGGAGAGTCGCACAAGTTGTTTTAGAAAATGGCCTTGGTCTGTGTGTGTGTGAGATAAGGTTTGATTTAAATTATATAAAGTAAGCTTCTTACAATTATATTCCAATAAATACTATAAAAAGTAATAAATGTTGGTTGGCTCTATGTGTCTTCTTTTGTCAGATTTTTTGGCTTTTTGCCCTTTTAGTTTCGTTTCCAGCACCTGAATATGCTAATACAACATCTTAATATTTATTTTAGAATCTAACATGTTATGGTAGGTAATGCTTAAGTTTGACTATTTATAATTATTAATTGTTGTAAACGTGAGTCAATTATAAAAATATGATTTCATTAGAAAACCATAAAACAATAAAAGTAGAGTGATAAGATTAAATTTTAGAATAATAACTTTAAAGTGAACAAAATTGAATTTTCGTCCTAAAATTTTGTAAAGAGAGAGTTTTATTCGTTTTACTCTATTATTGATAAATAGAGCAAGTTATATTTGTTGGCTCATCTTAACTAAGCTCGAAACATACATAAGAGTAAATTCTTTTGTTTTATTACTGAACAACTGAAAATTTTGAAATAATCTACCAGAAATATTTGTCTTAGATGGACACATGATTTATGTTGAAATAAATATTTGTCTTACCAGAAAATCTTGAAATAAATACATCAGAACATTTGATTAGATGGACATTATAAGGGGCATTACAAATTGTTTTTCTGTTCTTTTATCATTCTTGGGCATTTAAAGGGTTGGATGTCAAACAGAAAACAATGGGCTAGGCCCCATAATCTTTTTCTTTTCTTATGCATTTAAAAAGCCTTTTACCAAAAAATTTTTTTAGAAAAAACAGTTTTCTTACCTTTTTGTAGTTAAAAATGGAAATAAATTAACACTAAAATCCAAATGAGCAAACCCCATTGATTTAAGATGGGAAATAAACTCACTTCATTAGAGCATCAGCAGTGGCAAATGTGTTTGTGTGGGTGTAAGTATTTTTTTAGTATTATAATTTAAAGCAAAAGAGAAAAGAGAGAAAGAAAGAGATATAAAAAGTGTTGCATCCGAATGCAACTTTGCATCCGACTTCAGCTTCTTACACAACTTTTCCAATATTTCACAATTAAAAAATACACACACCCGACACAAACTTGTACCGTTGTGTTTGCTCTTAGATTTATGTTTTATGAACTTTACAACAAAATTATTAGAATATCTCAAAAAAGTAAAGAAAGTAACGGGCCAGCCAATGGGCCTCTTAAGATAGTGCGGTAATAAAGTTAATACCGTAGGATCTCTCTCTCTCTCTTTTACCTTTCAACATTTATTACTACTGTACACTTTTGACGAGGTTTGTGAAGGAAAAGATTTCAATGGAGGAGAAGAACACTGCCGGCAAAAGAAAGACTGTTCCTTCGATTCCGGCTAACTACATCAGCATCCTTCAGCTTCAAGAGCGTTGGCTCAATGAGAAAGAGAAGAAGCGAAAGGAGGAGGAAGAAGAAGAGAGACGACGGAAACAAGAGGTTGAGGAAGAGAAAAAGATAAAGGAAGAAGATCTGAAGAAAGCAGAGGAGGAGAAGCGTATGAATCGAAGTAATCGGAAGAATTTTGGGAAGAAAAAGAAATCTATAGACGGCGGAGAAGCAAGATTCGTTGAGAAGGAGAAACCGGAAGTCACGGCGGCGATCGAGAGCGGTGAAGGGGAAGATACGGCGGAGGGATTACCGAAGAAGAAGAAGAAGAATAAGGGATCTTGGAGGAAACGGTATAATAGCAAGAAGAAGAATCAAGATGTGGCTGTGGTTGAGGATGTCGTCGATTGTGGTTGCGTATCAATCCCGCCGCCTGAGTCCGTCGTGACGGAGAATGTTACTCCGGTAAAAGATGTGGTTCGAGTTTATAGGAAGAAAGGAGAAAAAGCGACCAAATCAGAAGAGGTTACGGATGTGATGGCCATAGAAACAAAATTTGAGAATCTTTCTATCAAAAGAGAAGAAGAAACCAAAACTCTAAAGGCGCAAACCCAAACCAAATCGATTAATCGTAATAGGCCAAAGCAGGGGAAAGATTTTGCGCATCAGCGTGTTAAAATGCCGATAGGAGCTGCTTCAATGGTGTGGGTGAAGAAGGAGAGAGCTAATGATGGAATTGCAAGTGGCGTGAAGCCATTAAATGCGTAACGTTTGCTTAAGGTTTGATAAATGTTGCAACTTTAGGGTTTCTATTTACTGATTTGGAATCAAACATTGATGTTTTGGATTACTTTGGTTTCAGGTTTGCTGCTATTGCTGTGTTCTGTGGAAGGGTGAAGAAAACTAAACAAAACAGTATGAATTTGGTAATATTCTTGGATGTTCATTGAATTGAAAGATGATCATATGATCCTGGTATTTCTGTAGTAAAGCATTAGGGACTAAGGTTTGAGGTTAATTGTATGCAAATGTACATAATTTTGAAGTAAAGAACATGATTCCCACTTGTGCAAGCTTGAAAATACTTTTGAATCTCAGTTTTGAGTGTTGCAAATCTGGACAACTAAATTCAACAAAGATTGTTGAATTGAATCCTAAAGAAGCGTACAGATTCAATTTTAACATTTACTTGTTACTAAATTTTGAGATAGTATCACATTTCTAGAGTGTAAGTTTGACAGATAAATTTACAGAAAAATTATAAGTATCACAAGTATACAAATTCTCTTACTTAGACGGAAGCTGGTGTTGGTGCTGATGCTGGAGTTGATGTTGTTGAGGAAGGAACCCGGTTTTCTGGTGGGATTTCAGTAAACTCAGAAAGAATTGCCCTGAATTCGTCACCGCCAATTGTTTCTTTCTCGAGAAGCACTTCAACGAGCTTATCCATGGCTTCACGATTGTTCCTTATGTGGCTTAGAGCTATCTCATATGCACTGTCTGATAGTTTCTTCACCGCAGAATCAATGTCTTCTGCAAGCTTCTCAGACATGGAGTTTCTTGCCATCATTCTCATGATGACATCACTTTGTGCTGATGAATCCATCAACGACCATGGTCCAATATCAGACATTCCAAATGTTGTAACCATCTGCAAAGTAAATAATCAACAGTCTCAAACACTCAATTTCATCAACTGGTAAAAGATCCGCCCCAGCATGAACAATGTGAAGCTGAAAGTGTTGCGTACCTGTCTAGCCAAACCGGTGATCTGTTGCAAGTCACCAACTGCACCAGTAGTCACCTCGGGCTCACCAAAGATGATTTCTTCAGCGGCTCTACCACCGAGTCCACCGACAATTCTTGCAAAGAGTTGTTGCTTGGAGATGAGTGTCGGGTCATCTGATGGAATGAACCAAGTCAGACCTCTTGCTTGGCCTCTTGGTATCAACGTTACCTTTTGCACAGCATCATGTCCTGGAGTCAATGTTCTGCAAAAGAACAAAGTTTATAACTTCAAGTAAGTTCTTGATAGTAATGATATACAGACAGGCTTGTAATATGATTCTCACTTACCCACACACTGCATGACCAACTTCATGGTAAGCTACCAAGCTTTTGCTCTTGCCATCGGTCATCACTGTTCCTTCCATGCCAGCAACGATTCTATCAATGGAGTCATCAATCTCTTTAGATGATATCGATGTCCGTGCTCGCCTTCCGGCCAATATAGCAGCTTCATTCAAGAGGTTAGCGAGATCTGCTCCGCTAAATCCGGGTGTTCTCATTGCTATTATTTCAAGTGAGACATCATTGTCGAACTTCTTATTACCGGCATGAACCTTGAGGATATCTGTTCTCCCCTTAACGTCTGGAACGTCAACACTTACCTGAATCAGTAACTTATAAGTAAGCACCAGCTCTAGGAGTAGTATAGGATTACAAAAATTATCAATGTGTATTAATCAGATAGTACCTGCCGGTCAAACCGTCCTGGCCTCAACAAAGCAGAATCAAGAATGTCTGCTCTATTGGTTGCAGCAACTACGATAACACCAGTGTTACCTTCAAAACCATCCATCTCAGTTAGGAGCTGATTGAGGGTCTGTTCTCTTTCATCATTACCTCCACCAATTCCGGTTCCTCTTTGCCTACCAACAGCATCTATTTCATCTACAAAGACAATGCAAGGAGCGTTCTCTTTGGCTTTCTTGAAAAGATCACGGACTCTTGAGGCACCAACACCGACAAACATCTCAACAAACTCAGAACCAGAGATGGAGAAGAAAGGTACACCAGCTTCACCAGCAATGGCTTTTGCCAAAAGGGTTTTCCCGGTACCAGGAGGACCAATAAGGAGAACACCTTTTGGGATCTTGGCACCAACCGCAGTGAATCTCTCGGGTTTCTTCAGAAACTCCACCACTTCCATAAAATCTTGCTTTGCTTCATCAACTCCAGCAACATCATCAAACGTTACGCCAGTGTTTGGTTCCATTTGGAACTTTGCTTTGGACTGACCAAACTGAAGTGGGTTACCAGGACCTCCAGGTCCACCCATTCCACCACCAGAGCGTCTCGAAAGTAGGAACAAACCACCAATCAAAAGCAATGGGAAAGCAAGATTACCAATCAAGTTGAATAACACAGAACCTTGGTCTTCCTGAGCATTATGTGCTGCAAAATCAATATTCTTGGCCCTAAGCTTCTGGAGAAGCTCCTGACTTAATCCCGGTAGCTGAACACGAACACGCTCAACCCGGTTACCCAACTCAGGAGAAACAGCTTCCACAATAGCTATAGTCCCATTCTCATACAAATCAACTTTATTCACCCTATCCTTATCCAAATACTCTAGAAACCTAGAATACGACATCCTAGACGACGAAACCGCTTGTTCCTCTGCATTTGCTTTCCCACTTGCAACCAAACCGACCCCGGCATTTCCTAACAAGATCTTAAGAAAATCTCTTCTTCCATCATGTTTCTTCTTCACATCCAAAGAAGGCTTCACTACATTAACCTTAGATGTCCTAATCACTGAAGAAAAGGATGAGGAAAGACCAATCTGTCTGCTGGAAAAGTTTTTACTTAACCTCTGTTTGGTTGTTGTATTCACTGACAATCCATTTCCCACAAGACAAGCAGATGAAGCTGCCATCTGAAATTCATCAAAGAAGCATTAAGTAATTAGATGCTATAGCAAATCCCATGAACGATGAGACAGAACAAGCAAGTTTCTTACAAGTACAATAACCTAATCCTCAGATCAAAGGAACAGTAATATACGACTAAAACGATAAATTCATGATACTTCTGAGTTCTTAGTTAATTGAATTAGAAATCAAGGAGCTAAAACTAACAGAAAACGACGAAATCAGAGTTTGCCGAAGAAAACCCAGTCAGAGTCATGCACCGACCGAGATTATACAGAATCTAAGCAAAGAGAAGAGGTAGGAGAAGAACCTGTATCGATTACAGATGAGAGTTGTATAAGGAAGGAGAATCTCGAGCTCTGTAAATTTGGAAGATGGAGAGAAAGAGAGAGGAGAAGAGTGAAGGACTTGGAGATTTTTTTTTGAAGGGAACAGATGTGGTTCGTGAAGAACTTACGTGTCCTTCATTCAGTGGTTAAGTTAATTAACCGAATCTAACCAAAACTGAATTCAATTTATCCAAACCAAAATATATTTAAAATTGGTTTACTCGACCATTTTCATTTACATGTGAATTTCTCTAGTATATTGTGTTCTCTTGCAATTTATATATTACTTGTTTAATTAGACATATCAATTGAGATTTGAGACGGTTAGAACATGTGCATTAGGGAGTCTCTCACTTAAGTTTATTATCTATAAAAATTAATAAAATAATAAATATTGTTATTTAATTTCATCACTATAAGCATAATTTAACAAATGTATGAGTAGTGCCAAGATGGCTCTCGCAAAACTATTCACATACTCTGCAAAGTGATGAATCCCAAAATAGAAAAAAGTGAGTATTTAAATTTTTTTATCATCAGCTCTTTTAGATATATCTTGAAAACATCAAAGAAAATCAGAAAATTTAATGAAAAAAATATGCTGCAACACAATCTTAGGGCTCAATTAGAGACACAAGAAGGTCCATCTCTATGGAAGAATAGGTCGCAATAGTTCCAATCAACGAATCACTTCTTTGAAAGATATTAAGAAGGATAAAACGTATCATGACAGTACTTCAAATCAACCAGCTCACCAGAGTCGTGCCAACATTAACGAGTATCATAAACGATTAAAAGTAAAATTTCTTAATTAAATAAAATAATATTATCGTTATTTTTAAAAGAAAAGAAAAGTAAAAAAACAAACAATATAATAGTTGTAAAAGCAAACATTTTTCTTTCGAACAAAAGTTGTAAAACATTTTTCTTCGCTTTTGTTCCCCAAAATTGTTAACCAAGATTTCAAAATCAATACTTCTAACCAAGATTTCAAAATAAGATTACAACTTAATAACAATTACTTGCAATCTTGCGGAAAAAAATTGTATAAAAAGTTTCAAAAAAAAGCAGAGTAAAGAAAAAGAAAGTAAAATCCCTGAATTTATCCTAATTGTTTAACTAAAGTTTATTATATTTTTCTAAATTAATCAACAAATCCCTTAGTTTATCCTATTTGTTTTTATATTTTTCTAAATTAACTAACATATTAGAAACCCATGTTTGGATTATACGAGTCCATATTTGATTCTCTTTATTACCATAGAGTTTTCATGATTTTAGAAGGCATAACCACTTCCATTTCCCGAATTTAATATCAAATAATGAATATTGGAATATGCCACAAATATGTTTTTTATTATGTAAAATTTGATTTCGCTTTTAGACAAAAAAAAAAATTATGTGACAGATGTGTAAAAATGTCTCATAAGTATTTTCTCCAAAAAGAACATCTTTTATTTTGGCCCACAAGATCCAAGCCCGGCCTGGCACGGTGACACGCACGTGTGGTTTGTTTTATATAATGCATATGCATTTCCTACATTGTAGTGCCCCCTTCCCAATAGCTAGTAAACCTTGTTATAAGTGTAACACTATGTATACTATAGGTAAATATATCATCTTTCTAATGCGGGACAAATGCACATATTTGTTATTTTAAGCTTTCAAGCTAACCACTTTGCACCTCAATTTCTCATTCAATATAACTTCAATTTTTCCATGTAACTAGAGTCTCTTGTATTGCTCATCACAAAGAATCCAGGTCATTCCGGTGACGGACTTTATCGGAATAGTCGTCGAAAAGAGAAGTTCCAACAATTTGATACTTAGATATTTTGAATAGAAGTAAACTATATAATTAAGATATATATGCCCATAAATAAGTAAGCTATAAGCCAATGTGTCTTATTCTCTCACTATGGCACGAGCCTGATCCTCTTTCTTGAAGTGTTTGATTCTTGAGTTTCTCTGTATCAGAAGGGAAAAAGAAGGAAACAACTGATATTTTTTAAACGAAGAACAATTTTAGAGAGTACCTATATAAAACCTTATTTATCTTTACACTTTTGAAAAATACCTTATTGAAATAGACCAAAACCAAATTATTTATTGATCCTGTGATGAGTCAAAATTATTGGAGGAGAAAGGAAATTGTTGATGTCCACCAAATCGGTTTGTTGTGTGGTTTACGTGATTTTGTTGACTAAATCCGTATAGTTTGTGATTTGTGAATATGTGAACCAACTTTAGGCGTTCGCGTGCTATAGAATATAAATGAGCCTTGGCCTATTTCAATACTAGGATTTATATAAAGATGCAAGTAGTTGATTTGGCCCTGTCTCAAAATTTGTAGTAGAAGCAATTAGAATCGAACGAAGGAAGTTCATTCCAAAAGAATACATGGGAATAAATGATATATGAACAGTTACATGATCAGAAATTATGCCAAAGAAGGAGGTGCAAAGCAGAACAGAGGAGTTTGTTGGCACACGTCTCAGATAACCATGTCGGTTTCATGCTTCCATGGCGTGATGACTGAGACCTGGTTTCATGAAAGATGCCTGTGGAATAAGAAGGATTTAACTTAATTAAGCAGTTAGTAACAACGCAAGAGGGTTATCAAGAAAGTGATTTCAGATGTTTCTTCTGAGCATACTTGACACAACCTAAGATCAAAATCCCAAAGAATCATCTTCTTGTAACTCGGTCACGGTCATAGACGCACTTTATGTTAATTTGGCAATTCGAACTAGCAAACTCAATTGACCTTCAATAACAATAGCCATATACATTTATTGAAGCCTAATGAGGAATTAAGCAGATGGATTGAAATCGCTCTGCCTTAGACATTCGAATACGTAAGCAAACTCTCGCAACCCTCTAAATCCGTTTTAAGCACAAAGATCAAAGGAACATCACAATATCTTTTTATAAGGATTTAACTTAGCAAAGAGGTAGCATAGAGTGCATCATATATCATATAATATTCAATGTAGTTCCCAACAATCGGATGATATATAATATCAAATGTGATGTAAAATCCACAAACAAATAAAACCCTCTAGATATCTAAATCAATAGAACATAGATACATATACACACCTAACTAGAGATAGAAACTAGTATAACATATAAGTATATCTAGGAATTGAGATGGTGACAAATCCCAAGCCTAAATCAAACTAAAGCTTACACATAAATATATCATTAAAGTTACCTCTTGCAAAGCTCTGAAAAATAGCGAGATCCATTGTAAAGGATAAACCACATCAAGATTATCACCAAAGAATCTGGGAAAAATACCAGAGTTAAGGAAAATGGCAAGAGTTCTGGTTTTTGTTTTTGCTGGACAAAACTTCTAAATTTTGAAACTTCATTAACATTATCAAATCCAGAATAGCTCAATTCTATCTCAAAATGAAAATTTTCTAACAAAAGATAACGCAGCTAAAGAAGCTGAACAAATAAAAATTCAAACTTTTAACCGAATAAGATAAGATTCGCAACAAGAAGTTCAAATAGATCAGATAGATCATAGAGAAAAGGATACTGAATAGGTATCGTTCCCACCAATCAAGCATGTAAAGCCCGAAGGTGACGTTGTAAAGATAGATTTTTCGTTGAACCCAGTTCATCGAATCCGATTCGACGGTCGGAAACACTCAATTTTCAAGTTTTTGAAAATTACCCAGTAAGAATCAGTTGGAGATCGTAACTAATAGAGAGATTCGACGATTCAAAAGTCCTTGAAGCTGAAGATCTTCGTGACGAGAGGTGTTTGGTGATTGGTGTAGAAGCTTCAGAACACTTATAATCCCGGTTTACTCGTATACCGGTTGTTGGAACTGACCGATTTTATAAATCTAATAATTGGTCATAAAAAAAAAAAACAGTATTCGTAATATATAATTAATGATTAAATAACAATTATATATAACTTTAGAAAGAAAAACAAAATTGGAAATTTAACTAAAAGATAAAGAAGGGTCGAGAGTATTATGAAAGTGATAAATTTGTAACCCTAAAACATTGGTACAGCTTCGTCATTGAGAATAAGATGATTGATAGGTTGGGACAAAGCTGCACCAATGGTTGGGACGACGATTAGTGAATTACCCGATGATTTGCTCATCAAGATATTGTCGTATCTCTCTACAGAGGATGCAGTGGTTACCATGCTTTTGTCCAAACGATGGCAATCTATTTGGAAGATGGTACCACAACTCACGTACATGGATAGTGACTATAAACATCGAAAGAAAGGAAGTGTTTGGTGGTTTATGGACCAGTCATTGCAACTTCATAAGGCTCATGTAATAGAAAGCTTGATTATAGAACTCGGTGCAAGATGTCCTGTTCATAATGATGTTGGAAAGTTTCTTGTCAATGTAGTTAAGTGCAGGGCGCATAAGCTTCGGTTCAAGCTCAGCTGGTTGTCAAAGCCTATCAGCTTGCCGGAGAGCTTTTACATATGCGATAAACTTGTTTCTCTTTACGTTTCCGACAAGATTCTCGTGGATGTTCCTTCTCCAGTTTGCCTCCCATCCCTAAAAACTCTTTCCCTTGAGTCTGTCGTATATAAAGATGAAGATTCTCTTGTTAGGTTTTTATCAGGTTGTCGTATTCTCAAGCATTTATATGTAAAAAGACATGACCAAGACAACGTGACAATGTTTAGTGTGAACGTGCCTTCTCTAGAGACCTTATGTTATACTTACATGAAACTAGGAGTAGGGAATGTTGGATCTTTGGTTATTGGTTCTGCAACTTTAAGAAAACTCTTTATCCAAAGATCATTCGGGAAACTCTTGCTCCATTGAAAACGAACCTCGCCTTGATTATGCCCTTGTTGGCTTAAATTGTTATCTTGATGACAAGTTTATGGCATCTCTTTCCTCCGTCATGTATCTCAAGTTATATTTGAGCTCTAAAACTGTACGCATAGTGCCTTTAATTTCAAGCTCACTTTTTTTTTTTTATTCATTGATCTTATTGTTATTATGATGATCAAATTTCCAAAGTCTACTTATTTGTTGTTATGTATGTTCATTGCAGGATCCGTATTGTACCTCCATTAAGTTCTCCCAGCTTATAACGTGTACTATTCGTCCAATTCGGTTACAATGGTTGGAACCATTCATGCATTTTCTTCAAAATTCTCCTAAACTAAAAGTTCTTCGCATCGACACGGTTCGTACCCCCTCACATACAGTTTTGATGGACAAATAAATTTCAATTGAACTAAACATATTAGTTACATCATATTAATATCATTCTTTAATGTTGCTTCACAGTCAAATATACGACATGAGGGTTTCCCACGTTTGTTCAACCGACAAAGTTCTTTTCCAGAGTGTTTATCAGCCCATCTTGAGATCTTTGAGTGGAAACAATATGGAGGACATTACGAAGAGAAAGAAGTCGTAAAATATATACTGGCCAACTCTAAGTGTTTAAAAAGAGCTAGAATCTCCATTGAATCAACTACTTTTGGTGAAGATGAAAGGCGGATGAGAAAAGAGTTAGAATCTATGTATAGGGTTTCACCATCATCTCAGCTTCTTTTCTCCACTCAATTCAAGACTGTGATCACCTTTCAAGATGTAATCAATCTCTGATCTATAGTAAGGATCATATATGTCATTAGGCTTCAAACTTCATTATTCTATAGTTTTTATATTGTTATTCAAGTTCTTTGGAAACCAAGATTATGAAATCGTTGTTTAATACTTTATAGAAATTATAATTTGTTTCTATTTTGTTAGTGTTCCTCTACATATATGGTTGAAGAAATTTATCTTCTTGATTACCATCCCGCATCAACCTTCTTCAATAGCAACACATGTGGTATATAGAGAAGTCATATAACAAGCTGCGTTTCAGAGCCTTGACTTAATATGCTTGTAAAATACGTCACAAAGTTGGCTCTTGCAATTACAATAAGCAAAATCCTACATAAACTCGAATAAGGGATGCAAAATTATCAATACAACTGAGACTGCTGTAACATAATATACATAGCAGAAGATCTTAAGTTAGCAATCATTTATTGCTGCTTGGGACTCATTGTCTAATACTTACTGCAGAAACCTCGTGTGACCGGGTAACCTTCTGAGGCTTCTGTATTGCCTGGCACCAGAGAAAGAACAAAGTAAGGATTACTATCTTTTTAACTTGGGGAACAAGAAACTAAATGTCAAAAGTTTTATTACATTGTTACTCAACAGCAAGTCATGTGGTTGGAGCATGTGAATCACATCTCCCATTTTAGGTCTCTCTTCTACCTCGAGATCGACACAGCGCAAGGCAATCAACACAATCCGTTTGAGTTCCTTTATTGTAGGAAATTCGGGAAGGCTAGGATCAAGAACATCTACTATCATATGATTTGCCACCATCTCTTTGATCCAGTCCACTAGATAAACCTGCCAAGAACAACATTGTTTCCGGTAAGCTAACATTGGCTTTGTGATAAAATATGTATTATGTATATGAATGATAAAGAAAAAACCACCAATGCTTCAATTCAAATCGTAACCGGAACCAAATCGGACTAACGTTCATAAAACGCGAGCCGATATCTCAAATGACAAAGATCTAACGGAGAGATCTAGATCTAGATGAGTACAACACCATAGTCTCATAACAAACTAAGAAGAAGAAGAAGAAAAGATACAATTGAAAATGATTTCTCTGGGTTAATTCTCTGCAATTGATCTTCAACTCTGTTTATAGCTTCACGACTTGGTCAACTTTCTTCTCCCAACTTCAGATTCATCCAATCATCCTTTGCCAAGTCACTACTCATATTCCAACCAATCAGCTTTTAATAAACCTCCACGTCAGCCTCTCTTATGCTTCATTTTCCTGTATCAAATCCTCCCTGTTTGAAGAAACCTTGACCTCAAGGTTTGGTAGAGAAGGTAACAATCTGATTTCCATGGGAACAGTTGTTGTATACTTCATTTCAAGGCTAAAGACGCAGTTGGCTTCTCAGATTTGTAAACATCCCCACACCCATAAGAATGATCAGTCCTAAGCGATGACACTGATGTGCATAGTTAGTGACCAGCACAAGACTGTCCAAGTATATCTCCAGCGCTAAGATCGACAGGCGACAGCAAGGGTTTAAATCGCCATTTGTGCTTGATTTGGAACTGTTGTATTAGCAATGCACCACGATCCTTAGGCTTTCCCAACTTGTCATGAATGCTTTTTAGCGGTGCCTTGTACTTGAGCATCCAAGTCTTGTAACATATTTTCTTCTTCTTACTCTGCAATCTACTAGAGAGACGAGTTGAATGCTGAAACGACACGTTCATAACAACACCATCAAAAACATGTAGCTCTTTCTCATGGTGATCAAACCCTATGTTATTGCCACAATTGAAGACATAGAAAATCTGATTGTGTTGTTGATGCATATCCACTTTTTCAGGTTTGAACTTAAACTTCCAACACTTCAAACTTTTTTCCTTCGGCTTCTTTTGTTGTACCATTGCCATTGTAGGCCATTTATCAAAACATTGATGTGCACAATGTTTGGTTTTCACACTTGTTGGCTGCTCACACCAATCAACCATTTCTAAGATAAAACTTGTGATTTCTCCTCTTGAAGAACAAACAGCCTCATGTAAATCCAGTTCTAAACTTACATCACTCAACTCCAAAATTTCAATCGATTTTGTGCCACCCATCGTTCCTGTTGCTGCAACAGTTTCTGTGGTAACAAGTTTCCGAGGATGTGTCTGCTCACAAATAACTTCTTGTTGCTGCAACAAGTTCTCCATCCCAACAACAGTTCCTGCCTCTCTCTGATTACCAAGATCTGAAGTTCTACAGTCATAACAATCAGGCGTGGGGGACTTCTTTCGATGAGCTGTCTCATATAATCTCCCAAGCATCAAACATTGCTGAATTGACTTAGGTTGAAACATCCTAACATTCATTTGAGTATCCTTCTGCAATCCTGTCAAATACAAACTAACCAAGTAATCTTCAGCTAATTCCACTCTTGTGCTAGTCAACTCAAAATGAGCATGATACTCCTCAATGCCTTCTGTTTCCTGCAACTGTTTTAGTTCTGCAATTGAATCCTCCACATGCTTATTATATTTTCCTTCCAACAGCAGTTTGTAAGTCACCCAATCGTGCTTAACATGCTTCCACAAAATCAATTCTTCAATAGATTGGTGCCAAGTAGCAGCAAGATCATCGAAATGACTAGATGCAACCTTCACTTTCAAATCATCCGGTGTCATATCTAAGCTAAAGAACTGCTCAGCTTTGAATAACCAATCCGATAACCTAACTCCATTGAATCTAGGAAAATTAATCCGATAACCGCCATAATGATTCTGACAAACTGATCGTACCTCCTTCACTTGTTCGGAGAACTCGTTTTGCAGTTCCGATGTCACTAACACTCTCAGAGATGATCGATCTTGAGCCGCCGTCTCTTCCGCCAACACCTGAGCACGAGTATTTGCCATCGCCTCCGAGAAACGACAGAGCTCTGATACCTTTGATAAAGAAAAAACCACCAATGCTTCAATTCAAATCGTAACCGGAACCAAATCGGACTAACGTTCATAAAACGCGAGCCGATATCTCAAATGACAAAGATCTAACGGAGAGATCTAGATCTAGATGAGTACAACACCATAGTCTCATAACAAACTAAGAAGAAGAAGAAGAAAAGATACAATTGAAAATGATTTCTCTGGGTTAATTCTCTGCAATTGATCTTCAACTCTGTTTATAGCTTCACGACTTGGTCAACTTTCTTCTCCCAACTTCAGATTCATCCAATCATCCTTTGCCAAGTCACTACTCATATTCCAACCAATCAGCTTTTAATAAACCTCCACGTCAGCCTCTCTTATGCTTCATTTTCCTGTATCAAATCCTCCCTGTTTGAAGAAACCTTGACCTCAAGGTTTGGTAGAGAAGGTAACAATCTGATTTCCATGGGAACAGTTGTTGTATACTTCATTTCAAGGCTAAAGACGCAGTTGGCTTCTCAGATTTGTAAACATCCCCACACCCATAAGAATGATCAGTCCTAAGCGATGACACTGATGTGCATAGTTAGTGACCAGCACAAGACTGTCCAAGTATATCTCCAGCGCTAAGATCGACAGGCGACAGCAAGGGTTTAAATCGCCATTTGTGCTTGATTTGGAACTGTTGTATTAGCAATGCACCACGATCCTTAGGCTTTCCCAACTTGTCATGAATGCTTTTTAGCGGTGCCTTGTACTTGAGCATCCAAGTCTTGTAACATATTTTCTTCTTCTTACTCTGCAATCTACTAGAGAGACGAGTTGAATGCTGAAACGACACGTTCATAACAACACCATCAAAAACATGTAGCTCTTTCTCATGGTGATCAAACCCTATGTTATTGCCACAATTGAAGACATAGAAAATCTGATTGTGTTGTTGATGCATATCCACTTTTTCAGGTTTGAACTTAAACTTCCAACACTTCAAACTTTTTTCCTTCGGCTTCTTTTGTTGTACCATTGCCATTGTAGGCCATTTATCAAAACATTGATGTGCACAATGTTTGGTTTTCACACTTGTTGGCTGCTCACACCAATCAACCATTTCTAAGATAAAACTTGTGATTTCTCCTCTTGAAGAACAAACAGCCTCATGTAAATCCAGTTCTAAACTTACATCACTCAACTCCAAAATTTCAATCGATTTTGTGCCACCCATCGTTCCTGTTGCTGCAACAGTTTCTGTGGTAACAAGTTTCCGAGGATGTGTCTGCTCACAAATAACTTCTTGTTGCTGCAACAAGTTCTCCATCCCAACAACAGTTCCTGCCTCTCTCTGATTACCAAGATCTGAAGTTCTACAGTCATAACAATCAGGCGTGGGGGACTTCTTTCGATGAGCTGTCTCATATAATCTCCCAAGCATCAAACATTGCTGAATTGACTTAGGTTGAAACATCCTAACATTCATTTGAGTATCCTTCTGCAATCCTGTCAAATACAAACTAACCAAGTAATCTTCAGCTAATTCCACTCTTGTGCTAGTCAACTCAAAATGAGCATGATACTCCTCAATGCCTTCTGTTTCCTGCAACTGTTTTAGTTCTGCAATTGAATCCTCCACATGCTTATTATATTTTCCTTCCAACAGCAGTTTGTAAGTCACCCAATCGTGCTTAACATGCTTCCACAAAATCAATTCTTCAATAGATTGGTGCCAAGTAGCAGCAAGATCATCGAAATGACTAGATGCAACCTTCACTTTCAAATCATCCGGTGTCATATCTAAGCTAAAGAACTGCTCAGCTTTGAATAACCAATCCGATAACCTAACTCCATTGAATCTAGGAAAATTAATCCGATAACCGCCATAATGATTCTGACAAACTGATCGTACCTCCTTCACTTGTTCGGAGAACTCGTTTTGCAGTTCCGATGTCACTAACACTCTCAGAGATGATCGATCTTGAGCCGCCGTCTCTTCCGCCAACACCTGAGCACGAGTATTTGCCATCGCCTCCGAGAAACGACAGAGCTCTGATACCTTTGATAAAGAAAAAACCACCAATGCTTCAATTCAAATCGTAACCGGAACCAAATCGGACTAACGTTCATAAAACGCGAGCCGATATCTCAAATGACAAAGATCTAACGGAGAGATCTAGATCTAGATGAGTACAACACCATAGTCTCATAACAAACTAAGAAGAAGAAGAAGAAAAGATACAATTGAAAATGATTTCTCTGGGTTAATTCTCTGCAATTGATCTTCAACTCTGTTTATAGCTTCACGACTTGGTCAACTTTCTTCTCCCAACTTCAGATTCATCCAATCATCCTTTGCCAAGTCACTACTCATATTCCAACCAATCAGCTTTTAATAAACCTCCACGTCAGCCTCTCTTATGCTTCATTTTCCTGTATCAATGAACTCTCACATGTGGTGAACTTTGGTCTACAGAGACTCTTCCAGAGACAAGCTCCATTATCAAAGTCCCGAAGGAATAAACGTCGATTTTCTCATCCAGATTACTAGGTGAAGGAATCGAAGTTGGAATATCACTGTGACCAATGAATCCAACATCAAGTATCTTAGGGTTCCATTGATAATCAAGAAGAATCTTGCTTGGTCTTATGTCTTGATGAGTGATCTTTGGTTCTATGTCCTCGTGAAAATACGCGAGGCTGATCAAAACAAAAAGATAATTAAACCATCACAATCATTCATACATAAAAGAAATCAAGAAAACAAAATGTGTCATGATCATATCAAACCCTTTTGCTACTCCTTGAATGATCTTCATCCTCTTCCTCCAGGTCAGAGGCCGATTTCTCCCGGAAGATCCATGAAGCCATTCGTGCAAATCGCCTTTCTCAGCGTATTCATAAACAAGAACCCTAAAATATATTCAGACTTAACTATGAGTACATTCTAACGCAAGTCACACATCAGAGGTAATATATTTATGTACCTCTCATCTCCTTCAATGCAGTATCCAAGAAGTCTCACAACATTCTTGTGTCTAACATTTGCAATCATCTCAGCTTTTGTTATGAAATCTTTATCTTCATACCTGATTTTTACTCGGATCTCAGATCAAAAAATATTAAGATTCTAAGATATATGAAGGGGTCAAGCAAAAATGTAAAAACCTTTGATGGATGGGGAAGAACCGTTTGACAACAACAGTGACTGTACCCATCAAGATTCCGCGATACACCGTTGAAGAATCTCCTTTAGTAATCAAATTACAATCTGCAAAACCATCTGTCACGTTCTTGATCTCCAAGAACGTAAACACATTGAAGCTTCCAAAGCTGCCGGTAGAGGAGAAGCTGCGTGTGTAGTAGGAAAGATGAGCAGAGGACCAACCAACCTGAGAGATTCTCTGGCTCTCTACATCATCGCCGCAACGGTTGTATGGAATCTTTCGTTTGTTATTTATGGGAATGTGTGATAAAGGCAGACAAAGCTTTGATCTTAGTCTGAATGGTTCTTGTCTACACCTTCTCCTGTGAAAGATGAAACAGAGGAGGACAGAAATGATGAGAACTAAGAGGAAGGCTATGGAGGCAGAAGCTGTAATGAGGATCCATAGCTTGATGCCAAAGAAGGAAGTGTGTTGAGAGAGTTTGTGCTGGATCAATTCTGTTCCTTGTGATGATATGATTCTGTTCATCACTCTGAGTCTTTGTGGTGATAAAGATGATGAATCAATGAGAGTGTGAAACAGTAAGATCTCAAGCTTCTGCATTCTCATTTATCTTTTTTTGTTTTTTTGAAATGCGTTTTTAAAAGAGTGCAAGAAGATTTAGTAGTATCCAAAGATGTAGTATAAGAGGTTACGTTAAGAACTTTTGTTTGACTCCGTCTATAACAAATATCATAGAGTTTTTAGGGGAACTTTTACGATTTAACACATTCTTTTCGTATTGGATAATAGGGATCTTAAAATCACTCTTGACTTATTATTTTCTAAGATAAAAATAATTGAAGATTTATAGACATGGAACGTTACATTACAGACTTTTTGACAAAAAAATAATCCATTACCAAGTCTTTGACGTTTTCGACTAGTGTGCATTCCCTAGCGGACATATTAAACCATTTTGACACTTTCACTAGAGCTACATTTATATTTCTGTCTACATGGTTACAATATAAAACTGGAACGGAAGTTGCATTAGTAGTAAAATCTAGTTGACATACTCACACCAGATTTCTATGTGTTTAAAATATAAAGAGACATTTATTCGCTTTCCACCTAACCTAAATTACCATTAGATCATTTAATAAACACAATAATTTACAAAAACTCCCCTATGGAAAAATTTAGCTTCTCTTGGTGATTTTGTAAAACCTGAAGTTGTCGATCCAAAGTTTGTATCCACACAATTCTTTAATGAAAATTGAAAACTCTTTAAAAATAATTAAGTTCAAGAAAGGAGTGATATATTCTTTTCATACAACCATGAGATTTATATCAATCTAAATTTGGATAGATTCGGCCCGAAATAAACTATTTATTCATTTCCTATGTTGTTGCTAACCAATTCGTGCCCCACTTAAAAAAAAAAAAAAAAAAAAAAAAAAAAAAAACAAAACAAAACAAAAAAAAAAAAAAAAAAAAAAATTCGTGCCCCACTTGCTCTCATATTCATGTGAATTCCTCATTCCGTACCTTATTATTACTCAAATAAAGAGAAGAAACAGTGAACCAATTTTATTCTTTTCTTATCATTACTTTGCAACACCGAAAGTTGTATCTTTGGTTACTTTATCAATTCTCTAAATTAAATGCACATTTTAACCTTATAATATTGCAAATATTACCGCAACTTTTCAACAAGGTAATTCCGCATCCACTGCAAATAAAGATACAAACTTTAAAAATAAAGGTCTAAATTTTTTTAAATATAACTATAGATAGTTAATTACCTAGAGCCTTTATTTAATTATCTAGGTAATTAACTATCTATAGTTATATTTAAAAAAATTTAGACCTTTATTTTTAAAGTTTGTATCTTTAGGCTAGAGGTTGGAATGAGACAGTAACGTGGATTTGAATGAATAATGTACAACAACATAAATGTGAATAATAAATACACAAAGTTGGTGTGAGATTAGTCAAAAGTTATGAGTTTGTAACATATTTGGGTCCTACATCAGCATAAAGTCAAATCAATCAATTTGCTATATTTCACCAAAAGTAAAGGAACAAACTAAAGAGTATTCTATTATCGTTTATTAGTTACTACCTTTCTTTATTTCAAATTCGGTATTACATTAAACTTTTGTTTTTTGTTTTTGATAAATTACATTAAACTTTGTTGCTTCAAATTGCTTTTTATTGCAACAATGAAGATCGTTTTTTCTCCTTTGAGAATCGCTTTAACAAAGCAAGAGCTTAAGTTCAAACATAGATAAGAGAGTAGATCTCATGGATCATGCATGCATGGCGCGATTAATTAAAGTTAGACATTTGTTTTTGTGTGCGACAATTCAAGTTAGACATATAAACATAAATTATTGATATTTAATGAACCATTCCATTATATCCAATTGTAGGAGAATGTCGATGTGGAATGGGAAAGTGACGTACTGAAAATAACGACGATGACACAAGAAACTCGTCACTGTAAGAATGTGGAAGTCATCAAGTTTTTTGAACTCGTGGAGTTATCGATAGATTTACCGGAAAGAAATAGCGAATATACTATACTCAAAAACTAATTTACTAAAGTAGAAAAATAAATATACTATACTAAAAATCTTACAAAATCCTAAAAGGTTGAAACTAAACAAAATAAAATATTATATCTTTTAGGTCGAAGCTATCAGAAAGCCGTAATTGTGGGGGTGGTGGGCGTAACATTTTGAGTAGAGTTACCTTCAATAAAATTCACATCCATGTATAACAAAATTTGGCAATATCGAATTTTTAGACGTGTAATCTTCTCGGATGGCATAGTTTGACCGATCAACATTATTTCATACGTATAATATCACTATGGAATCCTAGCTAAAAATGTTATAATTACTGAACTTTGTGGCTGTGTAATGAGTATGAAATCTATTTTTTTCAGAATTTCATTCATTATTATTGTTTTAACTTTCTAGGTTATCATAATCTGAGACATCCTTTTGACTATGACCACAACTCATAAATCTTCGATAAACTTCAACCTCTGCGACTTTAAATATTTGAAGTTTGTCATTTTCTTTTGTAACCAACTTTTTGTGATCATTCAAAATATCAAATTGACTGAAAATATATATTATCATTAAGTGTATTAGTAATCATTTATAGCTAGGTTAATCGTTATAACATACAGTATATACTCTCTTTTCCGGCAAGTACTGTTCTGTCTTTTACCAAACTAACTATTACCACTTGGCAAATTCTCCCTTTTGTTTAAGTCTATAGTTTTTTTTTTGTTGTTGTTTATGTTAAAACCTTTAGTTAAATTTATATCTTTTAGCTATCTGAGGCCCACTACTTAAATTGTTTATGCTTATTTTAGCGGCAAATTATTTAGGTACCCAATTATTTATGCTTATGTATAGGTTCAAGAAAGAAAGAAAACTAATGGAAAAGTCCTTGTTGTGATTGAAAAAAAAAAGTAAAGAAAGGAGGAACCAGGGAATAGAAGAATCAAAAGTGTGAGAGAAAAACCATCATTACTAACATCACTCACTAGAAGTAGCCCACATTACATTATACATTGCCCACAAAAACCTAAATCCCAAACAAATCATTACTTCTCTCTCTCTCTTGATTTCTCCAGAAATCTTCCCTCCTTTTTCAACTCCATAAACTCAAGTTTAAACACATAGCTTCTCTTTCTCTCCCTCTCGCCCTTAATATAGTTGAAAGATTCGTTGACAAATTAAAGACGGGACGATTCAAAGCTTTTAGAGAGAAGAGTTTGGGTTTATAGTTTCTTGGAATGGGAAAAGGCTTCAGAGTAGTAACCAGTCTTCTTCTTCTCTCCTTCCTCTTCAGCTCAGGTTACTTTTTTCAACCCATCATTCAAAGAAGAAGATGAAAACTTTTGTTCCAGAAAAGTAGTCACATTAAAAATATTTTTTAAGTCTGTTTAATATATAACCCATAACTTGAAATTTTTTTATTTAAAAGAAAAATAAAAATAACGTTTAAGAACTTGAAGTTTGGTATTTTAAAGCTGCGGAAAGTTAATATATGTCTTAGGGATTTTTTGTTGTTTTTTTTTAAACTCTGATCCATGTGTTAGTTAGTTTTGTTTTTCTTGTTTTTATTTCCTAAAATATTTTCTTACTTAAAGTTCTATTTTCCGTTTATATTCTTTCAAGGTTCGTGTTTTTCTTTTCGTTATTATCAATACTCTGAAAAGATAATTCTTCTCCAATTTCAAAAAAAAAAAAACACGATGTTGCTTTCTTTTTTTTCTTCTTCTTACACATGTGAATTGGTGTGGAGTCCAAATATTCTAGTCGTTACTTTTTCTTGTTTAGTTCAAAGATTCTCTATTGTCTTTTTGTTTTTGGTTTCCATGGTTTGGTCTTCGTTTTTTACTTTTTGTTTTATTTACCACGGTTTAAATTCTTTATCCACTTATATAATTACAAATTGGTGAAACAAATGTTAGGGACATGACATTTAAGTGTTCTAACTTTACCAACCAAATCTTAAACTTAGACATCATTATTAATGTTTCAACATCTTAATCAATGAATAAAAACATTAACTATACGATTTGACAGGTACAAAAGCTAGTATTGAACCAATAGAAGAAGAAAAAGACATAACCACACCATTAGCCACAAACCCAACCACCACACCAACAACCGTGGTCCCTAACTCCGACTCTGACGCTTCCGCTGTGGCCACAACGCCACTAACGATTCCATCGCCACCACACGGTGTAGCCTATCCAGGTGATCAGAGCTGGTGCGTTGCTAGAGAGAACGTTGCAAAAATGGCGTTACAAGCGGCTTTGGACTATGCGTGTGGGATAGGTGGAGCAGACTGCTCGGAGATACAAGAAGGAGGAAATTGTTATAACCCCAACTCGTTGAGAGCACATGCCTCTTTTGCCTTCAACAGTTATTACCAGAAGAATCCAATCCCTAGTAGTTGCAATTTTGATGGAACTGCTGTCACTATCAGTGCTGATCCGAGTAAGTCCTATCTTTTCTATTTAAAATTTTATTGCAAAAGAATATATTTCTTAATTCTGACCAGACATTAAATCTATAATTCTTCCGGATCGGAAACAAATTAATTAGTCAATCTCTCTTGTCCTCTACCGTTGGTGTTCGAACTTGGTGATTTTGAACTCTTACATTTTGTAGGATTAGCTAGTAGTACACTAGCTAAAAATTAAATATTGATGTTTGAGTAAATAAATATTTATATATGTTTACTAGTTGGAATTTAGTGATTGTATCATATTGTCAACTTTAACAACCAATAATAGTGATGGTACTTTAATTAATTGGTCAATTGGGAAGGAAAAAACAATTATAGATCCATGAATTAAGTAGTTAAGATGGTGGATATTATATGACGGGATACAATAAGTACGAATATGCTATTGACGAAACAAATCAACAAGTTATAAACGAAGTTGAACACTACATATATCTTACCTCATACTATTATATTACGACTTTAGATCTGATAATAAATTTAGAATTCACTATATTAGATATAAGAAAACTCTAAACATTCACTTAGTACCAGAGCTTCTAAACAGTAGTTACTTTCTGTGTGCAATGCTGATGGTTTCCACATGATCGGGCTACATATCTAAACTACAAGGTTTAGAATGTGTTCCATATCAATATTTTTCGTCACATATATGTATATCGAGAAAAGAACCATCTAAATGAAAGGTTTCTCTCTGTTGACAGGTTTAGGATCATGCCACTTTCCGTCTACAAGGTGAACAATAATCTCTCAAAAACTATTTGATATGTTATAAAGTTACTAAATACACATATAATAAGAATTTATGAGATGATAAGGTTTTGAATGTGATAATTGCAGCACGAGTGAATCGATATTGAACGTAACAAGTGAAGATGGATTAGGTCTTTTCGGGAGAATACCGTCACATCCAACTCCCAAGCCCGAAGCTTCAACCTCCTCCACCACAACTTTCTCATTTCTCTACTTCTATTCTCGTCTTCTTTGCTTTTGTTTTTATGTCCACTTAGTATGACCTTAATTTAGTTATGTAATATCTAATCTAAAAGCCGGATTTTTTAAGGCTAAAGACGATAGTTGTTTTCAGTTCTGATCCTAATCGTTGATATGTCTATGAAGTTTTGTAAAGCATTCATCCCAATTCCCAAACAAATACCATGTTCGAATTCAAACCCTGCAGAACCAAACTGCCATTTCTTGTATTGAACTAATTCCATTTGATAATATTTATATTTGGTAATACAGCTATGTCAACTCTTTTATCATGTCAGAATCTAATTTATATACAAAAAATAAAGAGTAATCTATCTTCTTTTTTGTCAACATATATATATATATATATATATATATATATATATACTATTTTATGTTTTATTGCAATAATAACTTTCAAATAGTTTTATTAATGTCGACAAAAATAATTATTTTTTTATCCATTTGTCATGTTCTTAACTTAAATTAATTTCTTGATTACAAAAATGGATGCAATTTAGAAAGTGGGAATAGGACAGTTATTGTAAGAATTGGATTAGTTTTTCTTTTGTCAACTGAATATCGATTGGATATGCTTTGATATTAATAAAATAAAATAAAAATATATTTTACCATCATGTATCAATTACCACACTTTAACAAAATGTTTTAAACTCATGTATATTTATTTTGCTCTTTCCTTTTTCATTTTTTTTTTCTCAAAGGATCGTTTCCTTTTTGATAGAACTTTGCATCAATCGTGCCGATTCCTGAATTCTCTCAGCCGTTTATTCGTAACAAAGCAGTCTTTATCGAGTTATCAGTTTTTACATTTGATCCGTTCAAAAAAACATCGCTGAAGCTGAAACCCTAATCGAATCCTATCCCATAATTGCTTTTCAATTTTATGCTTCACCGTTATTACTTATTCACTACGGATTTAAAAAAAAAAATAAAAAACAAAAACAAAAACCATGCTTTCATATATAATTGGCGAAATAGTAAATAGTATATTTATTTACAACTTCTCCCTCAGTGGAGCATCAATTTGGAGAAAAAGATGAGTGTGGTGGAAGAGGCGTTGAAAGAGTCAGAGAAGAAGATCAGAATTTGAGGTAGGCTTTTATTATGAATCTTGATATTAAGTTTTTTTTTTCTTTGTTTACGAAGTCTTGTTTCGTTTTAGACTGGAGGAACTTATTGTGATTAGCTTTTGAAGCTCATTAGAATCCAACACTCATCACAAAGAAATTTACCTTTTTATTTGTTTTTTTTTTTGGGTTCTTACACAAGTTCTTGGGAAACAATCAAGATATCAACAAAACAGAAAACAAACAAAAACAGATAGACACAATCTCAAATCAAAATCAAAAGGAAGGAAATAAATAATCAAAAGGATGGGGGTTGTTTCTTCTTCTAGTGCTCTGTTTCTTCATCTTGTGAAACTCGTTAATTTGTCATTTTATTGATCTTTTTATCTTAAGTATCTTTCTTGAAAAGATCAAGAACTCCACAACAATTCTTCCACCACGGTGTCGTCTCGCGAGACGCTAGCAGAGGCTGCAAAACACATATATTCAATTGTTAAAACATGATGAGAATTACAATCTTTTGATATAAGAGACAATAGACTTTTTCTTTTAAAGGGTTTTAAGAAAAGAGGGTTTTGTATAAATCTGTGACCTGATTGTCTGTAGATACGGGAAGGTCTCGGCTTGCCACGGTGCTGCTTGATGTTCCACTCACAAGATTGGTAACACCTCCAACGAGCTTTGAGGAAATATCGCTACTCTTCGCTTCGAAAGTTTGAAGCAAAGATTTGGCTCCTTCTATACCTCTTGATATACCTTTGTCCATTGCATCCTTTGCCTGATCACACCATCACACGATCGAGTTTGTTAGTAGTGTTTAGGACAAAAAGAGAAATAAAAACATGTAAAAAGGTGTGACCAAGACCAACCTGTGTAGACAGATCAGAAGCTTTCTTAGGCGCGGCTTCAGCCTCGGTCTTGACCGTTTCAGTGGAGGCTTCAACGGTTTTCTGAGCGTCAGTAAGAGCGGTCCTGGCGGTTTCAGTGGTTGTTTCAGCGGTGGCTGTAACGGATTCTTTGGCTTCGTTGACAGCAGAAGTTGCCTTCTCCAAGAAAGCGTCAGCCATTTTTTTGTGTTGGAATAAATTGTCAGAGAGAAACAGAGATTTATAGAATAGGTAAGAAGAAGATTGAGAGGAATTTAAGAATTTAGGAATGTGAAACGAAGTGAGCTGTTAAAGAGGGCTGTTTCAACGCCTCCAGCGAAACACAATAGAGAGAATCTCCAAACGTGACTTCCTTTATCAACTCTTGATTTTGCTTATTGACATCATTAATCTTTATAAATTAACAAAAGTCATGAGTATAATAAGCTTATCAATGAGATATTTTGGGTTTTTTTTTTCTTTGTAATAAGGTGAAATAATTGGGTTGCATTATCTATTCAAATGGGTCGATGATTGAATTGTCCTACATGTATTGTATTGCCAGCTTCTTAATTGACATTACCAACTATGAGACAGCTCCTTTTAATACCCCACACTCTTCTTTTTCTATAGATAAAAAGTTTGAATATTCGCTGCAAAGTTTGAAGCACAAACACGGTTGATACACCATTAGTTGTGAACCTTGTGATTAGTGTGGTGTAATGGAATATTAGTGACTAGTAAATCAAAAAGGTAGAACTAATGTCAAGTTGTTAGTATTAAGATGAAAGACATAAAATAAGGGGGTGTTATTGGTTTATAAATTTGTAAATCCATATAGAATTTGAAAATTTCTATTAATTATGAAATCAAGATATATGGATTTTGAAATAACATGTGTTTACCTATGGATTTGAATCCTTCTATTTTTCTCTTTCAATTCCATTCAAATCCATTTAAAACATAATTTGGATTCTCAAATCTAAAAACAAATGACTAAACGAATAACATAGGATTTTAACTAGTATTTATAAATCATAGAACCAATAACACATGATTTTAATTAGAATTTTAAAATCAATGATTGAATAACAAATGATTTTTGTTTGGATTTCTAATTCTTTATAAATCCATGAACCAATAACTCCTCCTAAGGTTTTAAAAAAAGTTACTTGTATTTTTCTCATTTTGTTTTACGATTGTACCAAACGTTCACGTTTCCGGAAATGATGGTAAAAATGTGGCTAGTTCATTCGAAACACATCGAATACACTAAATCCAACATAATAATGGAGAAAAATGTTTTTAGGGCATTTAGAGTCCGAATGCCCGAACTATCATGAACACACATCTCATTTAAAGCTTAAATCAAATTTCATTAGGATTCATGGTTTCCAACTCAAATTAATTGCAATGAGTGGAGTATATACTAATATAGATATTGTTTAAGAACCCTAAGTAAAACCCTTTTGATCAAGACTTGTGTTTATAAGAACAACTTTTCTTATTACCTTTGAAACTTACTCAAAACAAAGGCCTCACACAATCTCTCAATCTCTAACACACATATGGAATACCACACCTTGGCATCTCATATTTATATACAAACATAAGCCCTAGTTTTACAAACCGACTTGTTTCATAAACCGACTTATACAAGATATTACTTAGGTTTTAGATAACTCCTAAAAACCCTTAATCTTTCAACTCAAGTTAACTTCTAACTCTAATTAACTTCTTAGTCATAAGCTTCTTATCTCAAGCTTACTTCAACATTCACCCCTTTAAGCTTGAGAACCTCTTGTGATATGTCTTGAATCCCTACAAGATCCCTCATCTCTTTAAACTTGATTCTTCCCAAAGCTTTTGTTAAAATGTCAGCCTTTTGTATATCCCCTGAGACATGATCTACTTCAACTTGTTCATTTGCAATGCATTCTCTAATGAAGTGATACCTCTTATGGATGTGTTTACTGCGTCCATGGAAAACAGGATTTCTTGTGAGTGCTATAGCCGACTTGTTGTCGATTAAGATCAACACCTTTTCACAAGCTTCCTCAATGATTTCTCCTAGAAGTTCCTGTAACCAAATAGCCTGTTTAGCAGCTTCTGTTGCAGCCATAAACTCTGCTTCACAAGATGACAGAGCCACTGTTTCTTGTTTTTGAGAACACCAAGTAATTGGACAATCATTTAGATAAAAGATATGGCCTGTTGTGCTTCTTCCATCATCCTCATCAACATTGTGACTGCTGTCACTAAATCCTACTAACTCCATTTTATCCATTCGGCCAAACGAAAGACCATAAGACTTTGTTCCTTGTAGATACCTTAGAATCTGTTTCAATGCAGCTCCATGTGATTCTTTAGGATCATGCATATATCTACTTAGTACTCCTACACTGAACGAGAGATCAGGTCTTGTATGAAGTAAATATCTTAAGCATCCGATATTTCTTCTATACTCCTTTTCATCTATGCTCCTTTCTTCTAATGCTTTACTTAACTTCAGATTTGCAACCATTGGTGTATGAACTGAATTACATTCCTCCATTCTGGTTTCACTTAAGATCTTCAGTGCATATCTCTCTTGTCTTAGCATAATTCCTGCTTCATGTTGTATTACTTCTATACCAAGATAGTAAGTAAGTTTTCCCAAATCACTCATCTCAAATTTTGTGGCCATCCTTCTTTTAAACTCGAAAATTATATCCAAGCTAGAACCTGTTACCAAGAGATCATCAACATAAACCGCCACAATAAGAGCTTGCTTATTCTCTTCTTTCCGGTATAATGATGGTTCTTTAGAACATTTCACAAATTTTAACTCCATAAGAATCTGATTCAGCTTGTTGTTCCATGCCCTTGGGGCTTGCTTCAGTCCATACAACGCTTTGTTTAGCTTATATACCTTGTTCTCTTCACCTTTGATCACATATCCTTCAGGTTGTGTCACATACACAGTTTCTTTTAATTCCCCATGAAGAAATGCTGTCTTTACATCTAGATGGTGAATTTCCCAACCTTTTGATGCAGCTAAAGCAATGATAAACCTAATCGTTTCAATGCGAGCTACTGGTGCAAATACTTCATCAAAGTCTATACCATGTCTCTGAACATATCCTTTAGCCACTAGTCTTGCCTTGTACTTATTAATGCTACCATCAGAATTTCTTTTGATTTTAAACACCCATTTTAGCCCAATTGCTTTAGAGTCTGCAGGAAGAGAAACTAGATCCCATGTTTTGTTCTTGTTTATAGATGAGATTTCTTCTTGACATGCATCTCTCCATTCCTTTAGTTCCTTTGCTTCATCAAAACTCCATGGTTCTTCATTTAGAGTTAACAGAAGTCTTTCTGTTTCAAGTTCAGCCAAAAGCAGATAATCTTGTAAGTAGCCAGGCTGCTTTGTTTGTCTTTCTGATCTTCTAAGTTTTGGTTGTGACTGTTCTTGATTCAGCTCAGTTTCAGTTTCAGATCTTTCTGAATCTTCTGTCTCAACAGGCTCTTCATCACTATCCTGTTTTTCATATTCCTCTGTTTCTTTTGGTTCATTTTCAACATTTCTGATGCCATTGTTTCCGATTTCTCCAAAAGTAATGTTGAATGTTCCAGAGTTTTCATCAGTTTCTTCAAGATTATTCCATTTCCATCCCTTGGATTCATCAAAAACTACATCTCTGCTCACAATTATTTTGCGTTTTGTTGGATCCAGAAGTCTATAGGCTTTTGAGCCTGGTTCTGTTCCTAGGTATACCAACGTTCTGGACCTGTCATCAAGCTTCTTTAGATTATTAGACTCTACTTTTGCAAACGCAGTGCAGCCAAATACTCGCAGATGTTCTATGTTTGGCTTCTTTCCCTTGAATGCTTCATAAGGAGTCTTGTCACTTAAAGTTCTTGTTGCTACTCTGTTAATGACATAGGTAGCATGTCTTACTGCTTCTCCCCATAAGTAATTTGGTATGCTCATATGTTTTAAAATGCTTCTTGTCATCTCCATAAGAGTCCTATTCCTCCTTTCTACCACTCCGTTTTGTTGAGGAGAATAAGGTGCTGTCAAATGTCTCTTGATGCCAGAAGTTTCACAGAAATTTTGAAATTCTTGAGACATGAACTCACCTCCTCTATCAGTTCTTAGAGTCTTTATGTTCAGTCCAGTTTCTTGTTCAACAATGGTCTTGAAACTTTTGAATTTGTTGAAGCTTTCTCCTTTTTCTTTGAGCAAAAATGACCACATATACCTTGAGTGATCATCAATTAAAACAAAGACATACCTGTTATGTGCTGCAGTAGGTGGTGTTATTGGTCCACATAAGTCTCCATGAACAAGCTCTAAGACACATGAAGCACGAAACGATGTTGCTTGTGGAAATGTTTTCCTTGTTTGTTTTCCAAGAAAACAAGAAGCACACATCTCTTTTTCAACTTGAATGTTTGGTAAGCCGATGACTAGCTCTTTCTTTATCATTGTCTTTATATTTTCAAAGTTAGTATGACCCAATCTAGCATGCCATGTGCTTGATTCTCTGGTTTTTTCAATTTGTAAACAATTCTGAACCTCAGCTTCCATCAAAACTTTGTAGAGTCGATTCTTTGATCTTAATGCTTTTACTAGTAGTTGGCCATCTTTATCATAGAGCATTAAGTAATTTTCTTTCATTATAACATCACATCCTGACTCTGTTGCTTGGCCAAGACTGATAATGTTGCTTCTTAGGTCAGGAATATAATAGACATCAGCTAACACTTTGCGTTCTCCATTCTTTGTTACAAACAATATTGATCCTTTGCCCTTTATATCAATCTTAGAATCATCTCCGAATCTGACTTTTCCTGTAATAGATTCATCAATCTTTGAGAAATATCCTCGATTTCCTGTCATATGATTGCTTGCTCCATTGTCTAGGTACCAAGTCTTGTCATTATCCATATTAGTCTTGAAATCACTTGGTTTTATGTTTCTTTCATTAAGATATACAACTTCATGCATCATTAACTCTGCTATCTGAGTTTCATCTTCTTCATTCTCTTGTGTTTCTTGAAGTTTAAGCAGTCTTTCGGGACAATTGGAGGCAAAGTGACCATTCTTGTCACATCTATAGCATATAACTTTTGACCTGTCTCTGAATCCTCCTTGATTCTGAGTCCCTGTTCTACCTCTTCCTCTTCCTCGTCCGTAGAACCTACCTCCTTGTCCTCTACCTCTGTTTGCATTAAAACTTCCATTATATGATTGTGAATCATGATTTGCATACATGAGTTTGCTTTGATCATCACTCTG